CTGGAGATTCTCTCTTATCTCGTGTACAACCAAGAAATTTACGATCAATAAGATTAGCGCCCATCACTACTAAATCAGCTCCATTACCTGCAACGCCTGTTGCAACTGTCATACCTACCACAACCTCTACATCAGTATCTCATACAATGACTAATTTGCGTTCGTCAACAAGAGGAGTTCCACTTCGACTCGAACCGATCAGGTATTAATTGGACGTTTTTATATTAAAAAAGAAAAGAATACTATAAAAATCTTCTTTAACAGGTCACCAAGTAATGTCAATCCACAATATCCACCGAATTCGAATGCTTTACATAATACTTCAAGTTTTCGTCCTATAAGTAATTTATCGTCACATCAACCTCCAATTCCTAACCAAAAACATCAAGTACCAAAACCTCAAAGACCACAAACAAATCAGATGCTTAATGCTGGAGGAGATACACGTTATTAATAAGACAAAACAAAATAGATACAATAAACTTCTGTTTTCTAACAATTTGAATGCATGTGTTTTTATTTTAATACTAGAATGTAAAATAGACTTTGTGTGTTTTTAATATAAAAAAACGATTATAGTAATATATTATAGTCTAATTCATTTCACTTAGGGCATATCAAAAGTAACAAAATTTTCAAGAAAAAAAATACAGAAACAAGTTGTTCTACATTTTGTTTCATCAGATGTTCAAAATAGTTCTGGTATTTTCGTCGATAAAAAGTTCTAGATAGTTACTGATGGAATAGTGGTGATTAATGGTTTGTTCTTGTTCAATATGATGTATTAGCACGGAATCAGTCGTTTTGAAAAAGATACAAAACAAGGTTTTGGAAGAAAAGTGACTGCGTCGAACTACAGTTGACGAAGTTCTACTGATAGATATCCTTTATTCAAATACTTTCCGACAGTTCTATTGATTAACGGCTATCATCAATTTGATATGTATGATATTTGTCAAAGACAATACATACTAGCTAGAATATTATATTCAGAAAAACTTATCAAGAAATATACTATAAGCAAAAATTTCGATAGAGTTTTAAGTATAGATATACCACTTATTGTATTGTTGGTTTTTCGTTGACGATCTCATACTTGACGTTGCATATTATCTAAAATACTTTGATTTTGATTGATTCATGTAGATTAAAAGAGTACTTCCTTTGCTTTATTCTTCAAGACGAGAAAAGCAAGTCTTATATGTAACATGATACGGTACAGTTTTAAAAGCTTCTGTAGTAAAACGAGATGATTTGCGTGTACAACAAGTAAACGTTTGTTTTCCATTTTTTTTGCATCGGCTGAAATGAATTCACCAATACATATTTATGTATTACGAATCTTCATAATACGACAAGTTATCTAATTCTGAAAATAGTTTTGCAGTAGTCTTTGTTGGAAAATGGTCACCCTTAAGATCTGAAAATAAAAAATATCAAAGAAAATGTTTTATTTAACTATTCAGACATTCTTTTTGTCATGAAAGCGTCAATGAATAGTGATTAATCATGGCAATTGAAGCAGTTTTCACGACATGGATATACATTGCTGTTTACATCGTGATCAATTATCATTTCAAATAACGTAAGCAAATCATTTCGATATACAGATGTTTGTAAAAAAAACTAGGACGAAGTTTTTTTTTTTAATCTACGATTCCTCTCCTACTGCTAGAAGCAACTATTAACGTCATGTTTTTATGGATGAACCTCCGATAGTTAAACTACGATGAGGATGCGGACGGTTGAGACTGAAGAGAGAATTCTTAACCACACACGCACACCCATATCCATAGAAACCAATTATTTTGAAAGTAGGAAAAAAAGAGTAGTGTTCTGAAGACGACAAAAGTTTCTATAAACAAGTACAACTCTGATAATATATACATAATGTTCGATTGGTAACATAAATATTGAGTTGGAAGAAGGAAGCGAATAGTGATACATGGATGAGATCAGAAAGAGAATAGAAAAAAAGATGAACAAATATTAAAAAGTAAACACATAAAGATTGAATTGAAATGTAGATTGGCAAGAAGAAAATTGATTTCTGGCACTGTGGTCTTGAAACTAGCAATTGCTTTTGAGCTGCCCGCAGATGATTTAGAAGCGCTCACTTCATATTCAAAACTCTTGCAACGTTATTCAGATCTTGATCTTTGTCTGCTATCTCGTAATTCACAAACGCAGATCATTTGGTAACTAAACTCAAGCTTCGCTTGGATTTGTATTCGTACACTTGCTCATGTGGGATTCATCTGTCATACGGAATATGCCGGAGAGAAAATCAAGAATGCTTCATTGTCACAATTTAATGCTGAACAACAACAGTGGGAACTGTTATTTATACCTCAGTACGCTGCTCTACATCATCTCATCATCTCGACTCGATCTGATGATACACAATATCAAAAAATTGCACAATTCTTTTTGAACATAACACGTTTCTATCGTCCAACAGTCTACTCACAATTTCATACTGAAAAGTGTTATATTTATGAACTACTCGAAGATAGAGTTGAATCAGGTTCTATCGTACATTTTCGTTATATATTTTAACAGCTATTAAGAAAGTCTTTGTCGAAGTCGATTCAGATCGAGAAGAATCGTTTTCAATTGTTGAATCGCTATTCGAACAGACAATAAAAGTCGACTATAACAAATTGACCAAAATTATGAAATACTCGCTCAATACTTTGTGATATGAGCCCGAGTATTCAATTATTGCATGCAATATATTGTATGAAATTTGCAAATAAATGTATTTGTCAAGAAATCATCATCAAGTTAAGAGCGATACAAATGTAAATTTTCATCATGTGTGGATGTCAATGTCGATAAAGGAAAGATCAACACACCTACCCTAGTGTGAAACTCAAAACATTAATTCGATTGACAACAGATTTTCAACTAAGATTAATGAATTTGTTCGATTTTTCGACCTTGTTTCTTGAGACAAATGATGAAATGAATGAAACTTTCATAATTAGAGTTCGACTTTCACTAACAAGTTCTTATAAGATGAAGTTGTCTTGCATTTTGTCGTTGTATCAGCATAATTTTTTATAAACATTTATTTGAAAATTAACACTATTAGATAGACAACTGAATTTTGTATCTATTACAACACCTTGCAATGGTAATACAAAGCCACCAACAAATATTTCCCAAATGATATGTTTAGTTCAAGACTCACGGTTAGCTTTAGATTTTTTACTCGATGGTCCCTATTATTAATATCATCACTCGATAAAAGAATCTGAGTTTGACTTCAGTATTGGCATGTAACAGTGAACCTGATTCTTAGTTTCTTTAGGTGCCGTCACCACATTTGTTTTTGTATGCTTTTGATTATCGATATCTTATTCTTGATTCTAAGAGTATCTATAAAAACGACACTACATGAAAAGAATAATTTTAGAGGTTACGTACAAACATCTATGTAAAGGTGATTTTATTTCATTATTTAAATCTTATCATTTCATTAGTTTGTACCAATATCAAGGATCAAGAAATGTTATATAAAAGGAGAAATGAAAAAAAAAACATGGTTCGAAACCAAACGATTCGATTGGAATATTTGTTGATCGATTGGTTTTTTTTACTTTTACTAATATAGCTCGGATGTTTTTTTATTTTGTTTATTTCAACGAATTTATTGTGTCTTGTTGCTATAAAGCCAAAAAATTCATCAAAGACCAAAACAAGTACAACATTTGTTCTGTTTGAGAATTTGCTCAACAAGAGTGAGTCTTGTATAGTCAAGGATAAAAATGGCATCCGTTGGTACAAAGTATATTGAATTTTTTTTCTCAATGTCACACATATTTATCTTTAAAAAAATAATAGGTTATCATCGAACCGAATCGTCTAATCTTCAGAGATATTAATTCAACAATTGAATACTATACTAGTAGGTACAATATCCATCTTCTTAGTAAACCATTGAACTTTCTTTTTCGTAATTTTCAGTTAAGCACAATAAAACCAGGTATGAATAGCATTTGTTTATGAATACATATGATCTTTGTTTTTATTCTTGTATTGAGATGGGAATCAGATTTCAGTCAAATATGTAATTGAACATGGAAACAATGTTATTTTTTATTGGAAGTGAGTAAATTCATTTTATTCTCGATTTCATTAATGTCTTTTCTTCTGGAATAGACACTTTTCCTAAAAACACAACGAATCACATTGAAACATACAAAATTAACTTGTATACTTTAAATAAGAATTAATTAGAAAAAATTTCTACATTTTTCATTGTTAAAAATTTAAGCGTGCATATAAAATGTCAAATTGGGATCAGAATGAACAATCGAACAGTAATAATAATATAATTTTATGAAAAATCCTCCAAAATGCTTGAAATCCTAAGTTGAAATCACTATTGATAAGTAGCCGATTTAGATTTTAATTGAAATTTTTTTCATTTTATTTGCAGTCAAACACTTGGTTTCAATTCAATTTTCAAAACAATAGTATTGAACACCAAATATGAAACATATAAAATGAGCTATAAAAGTAGTATTCATGGATATCACATCACTCGTAATAAGAAACTTGGAGCTATTGTTCCTGTATCCCCTGGTGATCATTTGATTAAAATACCAAAAGGGGAAGATGCTCCTTTGATTCTTTCTATGATTACTATTATTGTTGATGCATCAAGTGCTTAGGAAATTGCTTGCAACGATCAGAATTTTTTTCCCTTCGTTATTTGTGTTTTCACATTACTCTAGTATCCTATATCTTCTACTTAATTTCCTATTTTTATTGTTTATATCACTGCTCCTTCTGTCATCTTATATCAATAAAATTAAAGTGCTTCGACTCATTGGTAATTTTTTAACTGAATATATTAAATGGTGCTTATTTTCTAGAATAGAAACAAAACTTTGTCAAATTTAAGTTAGTCCAAAAGACATATTGAAAATATCAAGAAAAGTTTCAAATAATAAAATCGTACACAATAAATGTACAATTGAAGATACTCATCTCGAATTTTAGCCTTTTGAATAAATATAGCCAATTGAGATTTTAAAAAAAAACATTTCAAAGTAATTGATTTAATGGGTTACCAATGCCCATTTAATAAAAAAGCGGGCGGGTATTTTTCGAATAGCTTTTGAAGGGAATGGCATAGCGAACTACGATTTTCACCATTGGAAAGAGACGATGAAGACGCATCGAACTATATATGAAAAGATTTTTCTGACTACTTTTCTGAGAGGTCTAGTCAAGTTTTCTCAAAAAATTGCTTTTTTTCATATGTTTAGAAAGAAGGAATTTTTCATCAAAGTACAAGAAAACTATATTTTTCGATTACTTTTTTGGAAAAATAGCGTGATAACTTGTACTTCAACAGCTAGAATATCTTATTGGTTGTAATTAGAAATAGAATCTTTATGCAGTTTTGTAATTTTTCCATTGGCGGTTCTAGTGCATCCCTCAAAATAAACAAGTCAATGCCGCGACCACACGAGGCATGTTGATTTTCTACGAATTTCACATAAGACTCTTAGGAAAGTAATCAAAAAAATCTTTTCGTATATGGTTTGATGCATCTTCATCGCCTCTTCCTAATGGTGAAAACCACAGCTCTCTTTATCATTTCCTTCAAAAGCTATTCAAGAAATACTCATCCGCCTTTTTTTTTTTGAAATGGGCATTAGTCGTATGAATATAGATGTGTGTTTGCCTACCGTTGTCCGCTTTGTCCACTGTACAAATCAAAACAATACGGAGGATATCACTAGTCACGTGTGCGCGAGATATTCGCAGCTGTTCTGCTTCGATGAGCTAAGTGCTCCAGAAGGCTAATTTATTTTCTCGTTTAAAAAAAACAATTACATTTTCTTTTTTAAATCTTCAATGTTTCTTTTCGCAAGTGCAATATGTGGATGATCGGAAGGCAGTGATTTTTGCCAGATTTCTTGGGCCTTTTCGTAATATGAAAGTGCTTTCGAGTACGCGCCCATGTTAGAATGCACATCACCGATGTTGTTGTAGTCAGAAGCCAAGTCGGGATGATTCGAAGGGAGAGCTTTCTGGTCGATATCAAGTGCTTTTACGTAGTATGAAAGTGCTTTTGAGTATTCCTTCATGTTTTGATACACCAAACCAATATTGTGGTAGGAATAGGCCAAGTCGGGATGATTTGAAGGGAGAGCTATTTTTCTCATTTCAAGTGATCGCTCATACGATGAAAGTGCTTTTAAGTAGTCACCCATGTCATCATACACCATACCGATATTATTGTAGGAAGCAGCCAAGTCGAGATGATTCGGAGGGAGAGCTACTTTTCGGATTTCAAGTGATCGCTCATACGACGAAAGTGCTTTCGAGTATTCGCTCATATTCTTATACACCAAACCGATGTTGTTGTAGGAAGTAGCCAAGTTGGGATGATTCGGAGGGAGAACTGATTTTTTGATTTTAAGCGATTGTTCGTACGATAAAAGTGCTTTCGAGTACTCGCTCATGTTATAATACACCAAACCAATCTGATTGTAAGTACTTGCGAAGTCGGGATGATTAGAAGAGAGAGTTTTCTGATCGATATCAAGTGATTTTTCGTAATATGAAAGTGCTTTCGAATTTTCGCCCATCTCTTTATACACCGTAGCAAGTTGAAAATAGTACTCCGATCTCTTTTCATCAGAAGAAACTCTTTCAAGGAGTAATTTGTAGAGATGTTCTGCTTTTTCAAACTCACTCATTGCAATGAGTATATCGCCGATTCGAGACCATCCTGTAGTCCATGCAAACTCTTCGCGTAAAGATGCCGTAAGTTTGTTAAAATCATCGTCTTGATTACCTGTGAGAGTAAGATTCACTTGCCAGAGACGATCTGTACTTCTGTCTTCAATACGTTCTATGTGATCGATACGAAAAATTGTATGAGTCGAAAAAAGAATCTCTTCTTCTTTATCGCTGTAGAAGCCAACACCTTTGATGTTGACAAAAGGTGTCGATGATGCTGCGCAAATGGCCGTATTGATGCTCATAACGAAAAGGATGCCAACTGAATTCGCACCGAATGCTGCCGGCCTTGCGAAGTTTTTGAAAGAAATCTCGCGGTTACGACTTGTCAACAAGAAATTATTAAAGGACATAAGTCCGCCTTCAGTTTCCTTCATTTTGTCAAAGGCTTCCATAGATAAGCCTTGACCACGAAAAACTTGAAATTTCAATGGCATGGCTGCTTTGCTGCTTTGTTGTTCGTGATGTAATTCCGTAATATGTTGATGTAGATTGCGGATGAAAAAGCCCATTTTAAGTATAATGTCGACATCCATTTGTCGAAGAGCACGATTAAGCATTGAATACATGAAATAAGGGGACGTATACCACCAAATCGGTGTACGATCTCGGTATTCACGTTGCACTTTTTTTGTTTCATCCTCATCAATATCAGTTTGAAGACGACAGTATTCCACGAGATCTTTTATTGATTTGGCATCGTCATCTTCGATTTCCAAAAGTGCTTCTTTTACAAATTGTGTGTACATAAATAATGCATCAATACCATTAAAACTGATCGATATCATAGCTTGATCACATCGTTGGCGATCGATTTCTAGGGCATTACAAATTCGTTCGATTTTTGTACATACGCCTTTAATCTTCGGTACTTTATTGGCCCATTGTTCATGATAAGATTGATTACCACAAAAAACATATACAGACTCTAGTTGTGGCATAGCTTCAATATCTTGTACTATTTTTTGTCCAAGTGAGCCCGACACAATCATGAATACTTTTTCTTTTGTAATTTCATTAAGATAATTGACGCATTTTTCGACATCCGTGAATACTGTAATGGATGCTACAATCCGTCGCAAACGTTTTGACGAATTTTGAAAATCTTCCTTGGATTCATCAATATTGGCATCAAGCCAGACGAGAAGAAAATTTTGAATAATTCGACGAGCAGATTGAGGAAGTATAGCATTTCTGCTCGTCGTTATTGTTGGTACTGTTACTGCTGCTGCTGTTGTTGCTGTTGATGATGATTTCTTTGGTTTATATGCTGTGGACGAAGAAGATGATTCACTAGCAGTTGATTTTGAATGTTGCTTTTTGTCCATTTGGATGATGTTGATGATAATGATGGCGTCGTGTTTTTTTGTAAATGAATGAATAAATAATAAAGTAAATATGGCTCCGATGGCGATGAAAAGAAAGAACGGATAAAAACAGAATTTGTCTCTTTTTCTCTCTCTCTGAATTTTTTTCTTGCTTTTATGTTCTCACTTTTTATTTCTTAGTTACTTATTGTTGCTATAGAAGAAGGCTTGAAAGACTTCTTATTTCAATCTTTTATTTGTTCGTTTCTTTTTATTTCAAGAGTTTTTTTTTTACTAACGAAACAATAGTGACAAAACATGTAACGAACTAAATCTCTGCAAATCTAGAGCATGAAAATGAAGAAACCATTTAAGATAAATGAATGACTGGATTATTGATCGATTGTCATTCGTAGGTAGGAAAGAAGAAAATGGAAAATTATAAGTAGAATTTAAAAATGTTATTGTTGTTCTTTCAGTTGCTTATCTGATTTCATCAGAAAATGCTCTTATTTTAGTTATGTTTCTATGTGTCGATAAGATATCTTGAGTCAATAAAATAAGTGTCTTATCAGAAGACAAACGAAAAAGAATTTAAAAAAAACGAAACTACTCTTTTCTGTTGTGACTTTTTTTCGAGCAAACAATAAGAAAGAAAGCAAATTTACTTTTGTAATCAACGTAAAAATATTTAAAACATAATCAAGTTTCATGACTTGGTCAAAAAATAAAAAGTTTATCGATCTTTAACAAATGAACGTGTCTTTTTTTTTGAAGATAGAACAGAAGTCTGTGTAGTTTTTCGATAAAGATTGTTCTCTTGTTTTCTCTTGAATTCGTTATTATGCAAGTCATTATGTTTTGCTTTTTTTGTCGACGTTTGCATCGTCATCTCAACAAGGCGAGGAAGAAGCAGAAGGACAAATAAAAATGCTCTCATATAATAAAATGAATCAATGTTGTTTGCATTGTTGCCAAGGCTTTTTCTAACATTGTCGTTGCAGATAGTAGGTAGTAAGTATGAGTAGCGAAAATAATACCACGTGTGAGTAGGAGTGTGAGTTTTGGTCTGGATGTTTTTCATCAACTTCATGAGAAGAAAAGAATAAAAAACATAATTTGTTTCTCATTATTTCTAATTATATATAATAAAATATTTATTGAATGAAGATGTTTGTTCTTTTTATGTGTATATATTTTAATAGAATTTATCATATACAACTAAATGTTATAATACTACGACAAGAAAACAATCAAAACATGTGCCTATGCGACATACAATGATTGAAAATAGAATTCAAAAAAAAAAAATACACAGATACATGACCGAAATGAGAAAATATAAACATATATATGTATTAGTTTTTATCTATTAATAATCCGATATTGTAGGTAAGGACGATATGGTAGTTTTGCTAGATCATTATTTGAATATATTGATTAAATATCAAAATTATTTTGTTCATTATTAATTATTATTATTCGATTGATATATTGTAAGCCAAAGATTATTGAATACATCTGAATGATTATCTGATAATATAAAACCTTATAAGAAATATTATTATTATTATTATTATTATTATTATTATTATAAATTAAAAGCAATAACATACTTGTTTTTGTTCAACGCAATAAATTTCGTTTATAAGAATAAAAATCAGCACGATGCATATAGTTTACGTTGATGAAATTTTTTTATTTTGTTTCTATCAACAACATAATAATCATTCATCGATATTATTATTTGTGTTAATGATTGATTAGTCATAATATCAACTGGTTTTTTAATATTTTTATTAAATAAAAAAAATATATAATTTACTAATTGATGTCATTACTTCATTATGACTACATTCATTACTGTATAGTTTTTGATATTCTTGGGTTAGTTGATGAGGTTTAACTGTTGATAATTCAATATTATGTCATCGATTTGGGTTCGTATAACGATTTGATCGAGATTTTTGGTCACATTTATTTTCATCTTCCTTGTTGTCAATAGAAATTAATTTGAAATTGAAAGGAAGTTTTTAGCTTAATCTTAATTTTTGTTCAATCAAAATGGAAATAGCTTTATTATTAAAGAATTCATAGAGATAGTTGATCTCGGAGATGAGAAGAAAAACATAGTCATCGATCTCTATCTATATATGTATATATCCATCCTTAATAATCATGGAATGTAACATTAAATTCCATAGTTCAAACACTAAGTGATAATACTCTACAGTTGTTTAATATAATTGAAATCTATTTCATGAAAAATTTTCCTTAGAGTAATTTAAAGATGGGATACAAGAAATTTTACATTTTCCGATCTGTCAAGTATTATAATCATCATTAACAATAGGGTGTGATATGGGCTTGGAAATGTGAGTAGATTTCTGAGCTTTGATTCACATCAACACCTATACCCTATATGTGTTGATTGTTGATGGTAAATTATAATGAATTCCAAAAAAAAATAACATACTTCAAAACAATGAATTGTACTTTGGGAAAGCGTTTGTTTCTTTTTATCTATTCAAATACTAATAGTAAAATTTACTGACAAGCAATATAAAAGTAAAACAGAAACAAAAAGAAATGTGATCAAATGAATTTTATATTATTTTGCTTTCCATACTTGTTCATGTAAAATATTCAAAAGAAAATAATAAGCATATACGGGTATAACGAAATTCTTTACTGTAGTCTAGCATGATACTTTTGCAAGATAAGAGTATTTCTTGATTTTTTTTGATCATCGAATTTATTTTTTCAATACATATCTAATCTATATAAGAGATATTTAGAAAAATTTTTACAATTGAAAATAAATTAGATACATATTTATTTTAATTTTAAATTCAATATTAACAATTTTATTTTTAGTTGTTTTTTTCTTGTATTGATGCAATTATAGAGATAATAAGTTCAACTGATTTTTTTACAATGAAGTACATTTTCACCGTTAAGAAGAATGATAAACTGACGTTGGGTGTGGGTCATAATCAGACTGTTATTGGTGGTGATGAGAGTGAGAGTGTGAGTGCGGATGTTCTCTGCACCGAAGCACATAAATCTATACCCTATATTCAGTTGAATCATTTGTTTTTGAATGTACTGTTGCGAATATTTTTTAAAAATGTCCTATTCTTGTTTTTATTTCCAATAAAATTGGTGATCAAAACACTAATGTTTTGATAATGAAAAAAAAATGCTGACCCAAAATGGTTGCATCTTTGATTTACAGAGATGTTTGTAGTGATCTTACTGAAATTCAACATTCTCTATGTATATATATAAAATTAAAAATTTTAGTTAACTAAAATTTTTAATTGGGTGTGGGTGTGGGTGTGGGTGGGGTATGGATGTGGGCGAGATAATAACTGAATCTCTAACCCACACACTCATTGTAATTGATCCAATCCAAGATAATAATGTAAATCAAGTATCTCAAATACAACCGAATACAATTGTATGTCTAGTTATAATTGATTTTGCTCAAGATGAGAGCATTTTAGAAGTACATCAAGCAGAAATAATGCCAAACACAGATCCTCTTAATACAAATGCACAGATTAATCAACCAGAGAATGATCTACCTGTTCCACTTGTTCCACCAGTGGCTGCACCATCTTTGGAAGTCGCTGATGCAAATTCAACAGTTGCTACTGCTATTGATAATACTGATGAAACACTCAGTATTCGTGGTCAAATTCAAACACCAACGTTATTATCACGAACGAATAAAAGTTCAAATTTATCGGAAGCAAATCAACAAGCTAAAAAGAAATGTGTTCCTCGAAGTGTAAAACGACATTGTAAAGCACTTTATTCATCTACAAAATCATTATTTTTTAATAACAAGGCAATGAAATCTTGTCGGTATTTCATCATATCAGTCATCAATACAACTTTAATCACTTGTCTGCAGGTGACGTTTTCTCCCGTAATAAAAAAAATGTAATTTTATTTTATTTCACTGTTCGCAAAATAAAATCAAACAGAATAATTTAGAAGTCATTGTGAACTGAACATGTGCGACTTTTTATAACATGATCGTTCTTTCTTATTTCTGTAGTTAGTAGTGCTTTTCTATTGTTCTTTTCTGAATTGTATATCAGATGTCAATTGTAAATAAACAAACCCATGCTAGAATGAAAAAGAAAACAAGGCTTATTACAACTTACCAAAACGTACACATACATCTCTAGCCCTGAAGAGTACTACGGTGTAAAGCATATGAAACGCGTAAAATTAACTCGGCATTCCTTTTAAACAAATTCTAACTCAAGCAAATTTCTTCCCTATTTTACTGTTCTTTAACTTCAACAGAAAAACAATTATTTAAAAGCAAGAATTGAAAGGAACAGACTGATTTCTACGATAAGCATACAGGTCGGCCAATTTTCCACTGATTACGACATATATACAATTTAGTTCGATATATCTATTTATAAAAACTTTGAAAAAACTTGTCTATATTGTGAGTTTACTCTAATTTTACACGTTATATATTGTCAATATATAGGTTTTCAAACTTGTCTTCTATGTTACATTCATGTAGTTCTAATTTCGAACATAGCTGATGAGGACTAGGATAAGCTCCAGTCGAAACCAGTCGTATGATGCTTTGAATCATATTATATCTTTGAAAACACACCCACACCCCACCCTTATGTAGTATTGGTATAATATGGACTCTAGGACTAGAGTTGAGCTCACGCTCAATTAGGTTCGCTGCATATGGCCGTTTTGTTTCACATTCTGTGCTTCATTGTTGGCTTCATAATGTAGTTTCAAAAGTATACGTTCTTTCCTATGGTTTGTTGACGTTCTAACAACATATAGTGTTAGTTCCTACGAAAGAAATTTAGCAGTTGTCAATGTTATGATAATGTTTAAAACAAACGAAAAGTTTTAATGAATATTCAAAAAAATGATTCGAAGATCAATATGGTATAGATAAAAAGTCATATTCAGCAAGTTTGACGTTGTTGATTTTGAAGGTAAGTGAGAGCATTTGTAAATTTATTAAAAAGTGCCGCGTCATTCAAATCCATTTCTCGTTCGCACATCTCCTCTGCAAATGGTCCTATGACAGTTTTGTTAAGATGGTCTTTTAACAACTTCATCATTTCGGGACTTTTCGTTTGACCTCTCAGATTACTTATTTCGTCTATGAATTCATGTATTGCTTGCTTCAATAGAAAATTACCATCACCACTAGATTGTTCAACTGCCTCGTGTAAATCAGATCCTTGTCTTTGAGTCGCTTCAAACGTTATATTCAAGGCTTTACGACATTTTTCAAGTGTTGTTTCGCTTGCAGACAAACTTTCACAAGCCTCCTTGAATTTTTTTTCACGTTCAATAGCTGGACGTAATATCATACAAATATTACCATCTAATTGATGTTTTTTCCTTTCGAATGTATTCCATTTGTCAGATGATTTTAGGATCTGTTGAAGTACTTGAAGTTTCTGTTCACTGAAGCCACTATTAATAGATTTCAGTTGATCTAATGTTGATTTGTAAAGGTTATTAACGGCTTCTTGTTCACGGTTAAATACACGCTCAAGAGCAATTGGTAGCGCTACATCTAATAAGGCGTCCAATTTTAAATTGCTGATTTCTTTATTTAAAGTTCTTACGGCTTTTAAAAGAACAGTTTTACCATCGCCATTAAGCACACCTTCTACCACAGGTGATTGACGACGAACAAGTTGAAATATCTCTTTTTCTTTACCATTCAACAACGATTTGTCATTGAATGCTCCCAATAATTGATCAATGCTTCTTGAAATATTGCCTCTGAGCAGCTGATCCAAGTTTTCATTAAGTGATCTTTGCATATTTTCAATTTCCTGTGGCAATTCCTCCACGAATTTCAACGAATTTTTGTCGATATCTGCAATCTCCATTCCTGTGAGAGCTATTTGTTTAACGACTTCTACTGAGTTATTTTGTGAAGCTATATTGCGCAGAGTATCAATAGATATGCTACCGAACGTACTTCGCTTTAAAAATTCATTTAGGTCACCATTGACCAATGGTTGAGCACCTTGGATTTTGTCAGGTATTCTTTTCACAAATTCTACTTGCTTCTGATCGACACCAGCCAAAGCCATGCCTTCGAGAGTCAGTTGTGTAATTGTTTTGGCAGAAAGACCTTCCTTAGCAATCTGTTGAACAACATTGAGGGGAAGACCAGCCGACATACCACGTTCGAGGATGGCATTCATATCTCCGCTGAGTAATGCTTGTGCATCTTTCATCCGTTCTGGAAGTTGTTTGACTAAGTCGATCGTCTTTTGATCAACACTTTGCAAACTCATTCCTGCCGTAATAAGTTGACTAACACTTTCCGGAGAAACTCCGCGTTCAAAAAATTGGCGAACTGCATTGACAGGCATGTCTCCTAAGATGCCACGTTCACATATCTGATTTATATCTCCATGGAGCAGAGCTTGCGCATCTTTAATTTGTTCTGGTAGTTTTTTCACAAATTCTATTTTCCTTGCGTCAACGCCTTCCCTAGTCATACTCTCTAGAGCCAGTTGTGTAACAATGTCTGTAGAGAATCCATTTTCGGCAATTTGTTTAACTACACTGACAGAAAGACCTATTGAATCAGCACATTTAACCATATCAGATAGGTTGCCAGTTGCTATAGCTTGCAGATTACGAACTCGTTCCGGTAGCTTTTTAACAAAATCAATCGTATTCTGATCTACACCCACAATAGACATACCATCAGCAATAAGTTTCGCAATGGTTTCCTCAGAAAAACCTTCTTTACCAATCTGTTGGATAGCATGGAGAGGAAGACCGGCTAATTTATCTCGTTCCAATATTTTATTTATATCGCCACTGAGTAAAGCCTCTGCATCTTTCATACGTTCGGGTATTTGCTTAACTAAGTCGATTGT